CTGTCCCGTGCAGATCAATTGCTGACCTTGAATGACGAGCTAGAGCAAGTATCAAGGCAGCTTGCTGACCTGTACCAGTCGGGGCCAGAAAGGCCAGGGCCACGCATTAACATCAAGTCGGATGCTGGATCGACTAATTCGGAATTTCTCCATCGAGCCTCTCCAGCAGCAGCATCGCATACGTCACATTCGGATCAACATCTTGGTACGCCCGTCATTGAATCTGGCCTCTCGTCACCAAGCTTCTCTATCGGCTCAGATGAGGACGAAGACGAAGCACAGCTGACCATGTCGTCAATTGACAACAGGTGTGATGGCGCAAGTGCATTATCCGAAACAGCAACGAGCGTCGCTGACACATCCAATGAAAGCTCGGTCAAAGCTGCTCGAGAAGAAATACCCTAGGACTTTCGGGATGAGGACGCTGCGCACTCGCCCACTACTGGTCGAGCAAAAGGACAATTGTCCGAGGAGGGCGAGCTGTTTAGAAAGGCAGTCGCGCTACACTTGGAGGACGAGGACGATGATGATGACGAAAACGAGGGCCAGTCCGTTGCGGCTGCCGACGAGCCTGTGGACTCATCTCAACAGCCCACCAAGCCATCTGTCGTGTCCGACTCTAGCATGACAAGTGAGCCAGTATCGCTGCTGGGCGTAGACGTAGGGCGCCGCCGACGCAGCAGCAATGCCTCATCCGACTCTGGTGCCTCTTCACTGAAACAGGATCTTCCTGAAAGTGGCGAGGAGTTACGCGCGGAGCTCTTGTCCACCAACGTGCCTCGAAGCAGCAGTCACAGCAGTGGTCTCGTTGCAGCTGCAGACGATGAAGCAGGCAGATCATGATCCATACCTGACTTGATCTGTCGTGAGCAATGCATGCATCCTCGTACACTCAGCTACAATCAATCTAAGCTGTGATTCTTGGCGAATGCGACTCGCCAGTGAAGACCCACCTCGAGCTCGCGGCATCCAAGACTTGCCTTTTGATGACCAGTCTGCAGCGCATACTGCTCACACATCCTCAGACTGGCCAATCAAATCGTGAAATCTTGCTTTGACATGACCCAATATCATTGCTGGGATTAGTGTGTGAGTCGTAGACGGTGACAATCGCGCCGCTCGAAAGTGCACATGCTCCTCGATTTCGAGGACCTCTTGTGGGAGGCAGCAGCTCCTACGCCCTGGCACCTTGTCCCCGAGTGACCAAAGCGCTTGCAAGAATCGTTTTACGTCACCTCACTTCCGGCTGTGCTGCCATTCCAGCACGCTTGGCAGCTTTCTGTTCCCTAGCAATGTCAGAGTAGCAAGATTTGCAAATGTGATGCGCTAGCTTGGGAGTGCCGCAAGCGGGGCAGTGCA